CTACACGACGCTCTTCCGATCTCCCCAAAACCCCAAAACCCCAGAATATGGATAATTTAAAATATGTGAGGATATAAAAGAGTTAATTAAATAAGTCAAATTAAAACAAAGAAAGTTTAATAATGAAGGAAAATCAACTAAAATCCACGAGACCAAGTACTGCTTACAAATCAAACATATATTAAGTAAGAAGATCACTAATTATATCAAAGGATTTCTAATAAAAATTTTATAGTTTGAGAATATATCTAAATAGTTGTCTCAGCCTACAACACAGACGACTAATTCATCAAGAAATAGTTCTAATCTTTCAATGTCATAACACAATATGGTCACGCTTCAAAAAATAAAGGAGCTTCATATGAACAAGATCAGGCTAACACTATAATAATAGACGGATCCGAGATCCAAAACTCGTAAAAATTCAATAACTTCTATGTAAGGCATGAATTATATGACCTAACACTCAGAGAGAATTTCAAAATCAAGAGATGAGTACCCTTTAAGAAATGAACTTTAGACTCCATCTAATTAAATATATGAAAAACTGCAATTTAATGTAGTTAGAAACCCTAGAAAAACGGAGAAATGCAAGACTAGACCTTCAGCCCCTCAAATCTAATCAAGCAAGAGTGGAAAAATGTCAGAAACTGCAGTTCGCAAAGTCAGCTTAAATTTAGGACCCTTATATTAATAGTAAGTCCACTAAAAGGAAGAATAGAGCACCTCAAGATAGCAATCTAGTGATCGAGACAAGCTCTCAATCGTTCTTATGGATTAGTAACAGCAATAGCAATCTAGTGCTAGAAGTGCTGGGGATATCTGTACACTCATTTTCTAGATAGTCGAAAAATTTGAAGACCTCAATTAGATTATCAAACAAGAGTATGATACCCCATAAAAAGTAAAGATATTCGTGAACCAGATGTATGAGAAATAAATTAAGCAGCTCAGAAGAAGTCTAGAGTTTAGATAATTGCTTTAAAATCACGAGTAAATTAAACTTGCAGCGTATTTGGATGCCTCAATAAAATCTGCTAATCTTGACTCTGAGTCCTTCACTGGCTATATGATGCAGAATTAAACAGGCAGAAGAGATGACTCAGCTGAGTCTAAATTTGGAAATTCAGATAGAACATCCAGTGACGAGTAGATGTACATGAGCATGCCCCGAAATCTACTTGTTTTGGAGATCATGAAGCTTTAGCAGTAAATAAAGAAAAACGAGACATCCCCAAGCAAACATTCTCACCGTAAAAATAGCATGGACATGCGGAATAATTTTTTTGCTTAGTAAATTTAACAGCAGCAGCTATACATAGCATCCTTTGAGGAAGTAGCAAAGTCCCTTTAAAATAAGTTATCATAGCAAGCCAAGCAGTTTTAAACATAGTAGATGCAGTATTTGGAGTAGATTGAAAGGCTTAACCTCAAGATTAAAGATTAAGAGATCAAGCAGTAGTAATTGCAGAATAAGTATTACTAGTAGAATGAGGAATATCTGCATATGTATAAGCAGCAGGAATTTAAAGACAGAAGTCTGAGAGAGTATGAGAAAACTCTTAAGAAGATGGACGAGATGAAGATAGTCATGAACGAACTTAAGAAAAACAGCAAAAGTGGTTCTAAGGGTAAAGTCCTGAAGGACCTCGTAGAGAAAATGTCCCTGATAGTAATGAATCCGAAAAAGAAAGATGAAATTAATGAAAAGGAACTATTGCTGCTTCGGTACCTAGATGATGACAATTCTCTGCTCATCGATGAGATCTGAAGATTTTGAGATACATCTCGTGTATCTATTATAAAGTGTGTGTTGATGCTTTCATTATAATTAAATGTAGATGTAGGCTTTAGATTGACTATAATACTGAATTTATTAATCAACTATGCAAAGATTTGCAATTTTCATAATAATTAAATGAAATATTTTATTAAATTCTCACGAATATTTTATTTATTTGACATTCGGGGTTTTGGGGTTTTGGGGTTTTGGGG